AAAACTTGTATAATAGTACCGAGATAGTTATAGTATAAATATTATATACACAAAGTGCAAAATATATGTAAAACATTTAAGTAATGAATAGGGCAGCTCATTACGACGAGAATCGTTTCTTTTGGATGTCGGCGTCGCTTAGTTGGTCGATCGCGCCACAGCCGAACGCTCTTTGTTCCACTCGCCATTGTGTGTCGTGCGGTTATCAGGCGCATGGGATAATTCGATGCCCAGACACAATGGAATCGCGAATCGCTGTTGGAAAATCGTCTGCGATTCTGCACCGCGTTTCATGCTTTTGAGACGCTGGATTACTGATGCTGATTAATTAGGTGTCTCCTCTATATCTATAGTCCACATTAATCATATGACCATTAACTCGAAACATTAATGACTTACTATTTTATACATATATATATAAATATAATTCTCTCTCCCCCCCCTCTCTCTCTCTCTCTCTCTCTCTCTCTCTCTATATATATATATATATATATATATATATACCCATATCATAATAATTGTTCCCTTTTTATTAACATGGAAAGATAATGGTATCAAATTTGACGTGTTTAAATTGTAAATTTGCACAAACTTATACTTTTTGACTAAGAAACTTATAAGACGTATAAGTTGAGAATAGCCAAGCCAAATCTGTAGCATTTTTATTCATTTATAACAATCAAGTACCTAAATATGTTTAAAAATTTATCATAATAAAAATATAATCCATAAAATTCTTAAATATCTGCACAAACATTAATTTACGTATAAAATTAAAATCTACTTAAGAATAATATCTACTTAATTTAGATTTTAACAATCGTCCAAAAATTTTCATCGAGAAGATTAATTTTTTTTTGTATTTTACCTATCCTTTTTTGACACAAATTATAGAGAGATATTTAATGAAAACTCTATAACTCTACACATATACAAGTCAAATGAGTTGGAAAGTTTTACGATAATCCTATTCGTGGAAGAGCGAGGCCAAAAGGGACTACAAGGGGCTGCAAGTGACGCAGTCCACTGCATTATATTGTAGAGATAGAGGATCTCCGATGATATATCATGTATCGTGACGCGGACTCGTGCTCTGACTCGCGCTGCGTCAGTGACGGCCCTCAAGCCAATAGTCGTAGCACGAAACAAAAGAATTAGATATATAAAATTCGAAATTATTACAACTCTTTGCATCTAACAATAATATAGTTGAGAACAACATAAAAAATATAATACGTTGATAAAATAGCGATAATTTCAAATTTATATAATCAATACCGCAACAGACAGTATAGACATTTTTTGTATTCCAAATAACTTTTACATAATAGTAGAATGAGTAAATGGAATAAATAGAGTACTAACACAATTTCGCGCACAAAATTCATGAACGGATAATTGTTTATTCGTTCATCCGTTCATCCGTTTATCTGTTTAAGTTACAATTAAGGCCAACTTGAAACCCTCTATTTAAAAATCTGACTATAAAATAGTCAGCAATATCTTTTTCTGAATACATTAATTTGAAACATGTTTTCTATTCTGCTAATTTTTATATATTAATTAAACAACACAGTGATTGAGTTGTTAAGCTGCACGATAATAAAGTGAAAGTAAACGATTCACAGAAGATCTTATTCGAATTCGAGCATTTCAAATTTGCAAGACTGAAATCTTTAATCAGCCAATGAAAATTTAATTTTCTTTTTTTTTTATTTAATTAGGAAAAACATATAAATTCCACATTATTCATTTATCGACGATCCAATATTTTATGTAAAGCTGCTAACTTATAAACCAGTAATATACGAAAAAAATTATATCATAAAAGAATTTTTTGTTTTGAAAAAAAGATACTTCATATTCACTTGACCTTTATACTAATTATTGCAGGAAATTGCTATTGCGTGAGAGCATTTTACGTTGTTTCAATATTCTCTTACATTGCACATAAATTATTTAATTCTCAATACAACCGTATATTGCCGTATATGTAAAGTTCACCGGCATCACTAGCTAAGTTAGGTACTTTGCATTTAATAGCGAACGTGCGATTCCGTAATGGTAATTACAAAAACGTGATATCTTCCGGTTGAACATCGGCCGTTATGTATTACAATTGCAGCTGTCTAACAGTAATTACACACGATAGGAACGATTCATGCTTCGCCTGTAAACTAATCACTGTCTCGTCACGTTTGCTCGACTATGAAACGTTCAATAAATTTTATGCCTAATCTTGACCTAATATAATATAATTTCCGCAATATTTTTTTCAATTATTCTGCTATCTATTAAAAATAGTTTATACTGCATTTTGATATTATTCACATGAATATTTTCTAATCCATGTGTACAGATAACTTGAGTATAATTCTACCTGATTTTATTATACATAAAATCAGATAGAAAAATGTATGCATTTCAAATTAAATAACGTAAGGGAGTAACGTAAGAAATTAGATTAAAAGGCGAAAAACACATCAAAGAATGTTTTCGAGCCGACTTGCACTTATCTTTAGAGCGGCTCGAATACAACACTCACTATACTGACACGTTATACTGACTCGGATATAAGACTGCACGAGCTGCGCGCTCTCGTCCTCACGAGTCTTATATATCGCTCCACAGTGTCTCGCATGCCTTTCATTTCGTCCTTTACGGTACTTCGTCATGATTTACGGCGTATCCGCATGAGGAACGACGGCATCGCGCGCGCCTCGCTCGCTCGTCCGCTTTCGTCGCTTCCTTCCTTCCTTCCTCTCTCGCTACGGTTTCCGTCGCGTGAGTGTATCTCGCCTGTAATTTTCTCGTCGACAGTCGCGAGATGCCGGGAAAGGATGCTCCAAAGGACGCCTTTGACCCGACCGACTTGGACGGAAGTCGTCGCGTCGCGTCGCGACAGCTTCGGGCTCTCCTTCAATGCCGTAGGTCGGTAGTGATAAGATACGGACTATGCGGATCGCATAAATATACGCGTCTGACATCCTTGGAATTCTGATTGGAATCCAATGCGTTAATCGGTAAATATCCAGTTAAAAATATCTGCCCAAAAACGAATCTAATAGAATCTCCATGCACGCGGATTTGTTCTTTCGTTCATTTCAAGTGGAACTCTTCTTAAAGCAATTTTACTGATCTTCATATACTTAATAACTTGTCAATTAGTGCAATTTTCTTATCTAATTTAATCAGTCCTTTCTCAACCGAATACCTAAGCCAAAACAGAGAGTAAACAGATTTTTCTGCCTTTGAATTGAAAACTTGTCCACAATTATTGTTTGTATAAAATTGTTATACTATACAAAGTTCCATGCCATGTAAAATAATCCCAATCAAAATACATTCATCTTTTTTATTTTAATAAAAATGTTTCAATATCTATATAGTAATCTTTAACCCTACATTTTGTTCATTTTCATACTTGTCATTTGTCGCCAATTAATACAAAAGAGTAATTATATGGCTGAAAATAATTAAAATAAATAAACAAAATGTTCCACTTAATTGTACAAATAAAAAAATTATTCATCTACTAGCATCAGTATTTTGACTGAAATTAGCTTTATTTGCTTTTATCATTAACATAAACTGTAAATTCTATTATACAAATTCTGTTATAAAAACTAAATTTTATAATTTAGATTATAAACTAAAATCCTATAAATTCTATTCTGTATAAATCATGTAGAAATTGATTTGGTATATTGAGTTTTGATATGCCGCTATAATATGTTAATTCACATACACAAATACAAACTTCCTACAAGCGCTTTATCAAAGTTTTAAATAATTGCGAATATACTGTCATTACGCATTATATAATCATTCCATAATCACTTTTTCGACAACTACAATCGACTCCGATTCATTGTCGCGCGAGATTGCCGTTTGTTTGCTGTGCAATTAATGCGACGAAGAGGTGAGCTAATTATTAGCACAGGCTGTAAAACAAGCGCTCTCTAATGTGCAGCCATTGCTAATTAGTTGCTAGCAACAAGTAATTAGATGAATTTGTTAATCAACATAGCGCGATCATTAGAATTTTCAGACATTTTCTTACAAATTACTGTTAAATATTTTTTATAGATATTTGTAGGGTTGTATATTGCTATACATATAAATATATTATTAAAATATCGATATTTATACTTTCAATATTAATCAAAGAGGTTCAATTGTTTCAAATGCATAGGCCCGCCGCGTATATTTACTTTTCGTTGACTCATCTAGTTTTTTTCAACTTTTTTTTCAAGTCAACGTTTTTTTCAACATTCAACTTTTTTTTCAAGTCATACAATTTTGTGGTGAGTTCAGCTAAATGTTGGATAAATCCAGTTTCAGTAAATCTCGAAACTTTTCAATGTATTCAATTTTACTCATCAGATCGACGAAAAAATCTTAAATGAAACTTGATTGTTTAAAATAAAAAAGAGAAGATATATATATATATATATATACTATACTATATATCGATTTTTTCTTCTAGTCGGCTGCATACAGGCTGCATATAGGCTGCATATATGCGACGCACCAATCTAACTAAAAGCCCTAGATAGCGCTTACAAATGCATTCTTTCTTTAGTTGTTTTTCTCTAACCCTTTCCTAAGTACTCGAGGGATGACAAACGGCAGAAATAGAGTGCGAATAAAGACGTGGAATTTAATGCTGCATATGTCAAGAATGTTTTGTGTCACTCAGTATATCTATCTTCCGAGGAACGGATCCATGAAACTTGTGCGCGCAAAGTTGCCGAGGAACAATGCGTCACGAGTGAAATTGGTACATCGCATGTTTCCCGTATAATATAGTTGCCATATGATGCAAACTGCACGTTGTCCGTGTAATGTAGGCGATGATGCCATGCCATGCCATGCCATGCCATGTTTTAAAGTGATCACGACACTTTCCAACAATTTCGATGGCAGATTACGCCAAGCGCGTACTCTCTACTCTTACTTTTTATTAAAACATATTAAAAGCAAATAAAACAACTTACCTTCCAGTTCGACGATCTTGCCGGCTCTTTTAAGCGCCTTTACTGCCTCATCGTGCGTGGCTTCGCGTAGATCTTCGCCGTTTACCGCCAAAATTGCGTCGCCGACGTAAAGTTGCTCAGTAGCGTCCGCCGCCATGCCTTTAAAGATCTTCGAGATGAGGATCGGCATTTTGTTCTCCTTGCCACCCTTTATCGAAATTCCTAAGCCATTGTTGTCACTTTTAACCACACGGACAATGCGCTTCTGATTGGCTACCGAATCGGGCACATCCGGATCGTTCAAACTGTCTACATTGTTATTGTTGATGTTACCGTTGTTCAGAGCGTTGTTACCGGTCTCACAACTCTCATCGAGCGAAATGCTGAGATAATCGTCTTCCAAAGAGACGAATACGCGATACCACTGACCACGCACTTGAGTTTCGAGTATGCCGGCACGTCCCGATGCTGAGGATGAGGCGCCTGTAGTCGTGGTAGTCGACGAAGAGGATGACGACGTCGCCGCGGTCACCATTGCACCGATGCCCATTACTCCCATGGCCGAAGAAGCTTGGCCGCTACCACACAACTCTACCATTTCGATTTCTTCGCAAGCTGTACGCTGCAACATGCCAATAATTGCACATATATAACACACACTTTTTTCCCCTTTTTATATCTATCCACTTTAAATATAATATTCATAAAACTTTATGGCTGTGTATTGAGGAAGAAAACAAAAATTTTTTCTTATAAATTAACAGTTCTAAAAAGCTTTCTATTGTGACTTATAGGTAAGCGATGAAAACAAACATAAAATTGGAAATGAAAAACTTTGTGCATACATATTATTCATATAGTCAACTGCACACGTTTATATAAAAAAAAGACATTTAGAAAATCTTAATTTATTTATCTTATGCCTCGTCCGATTTTTAATGTAAGGCTCGAGAAAAATGGCAACATATAAAATAAACGCTATAGTGCATCGTGAATAAATGGCGCCGGTACTCGACGACGTGAATAAATCAATTGTACTATATGCTGGCGAAATTCGTAATTTGAAAATAATTGATAGCGGTCGACAGTGACGTGGCCGAGCTCTCTTTGTTTCCTCCTACACCATTATTTCCATCAATCCAGTATCGCGCCGCAACAATAGCGTTACCACTGCCCGCGTAAAATGGTAGGTATATAGGCGCAATGAAAAGCAAATAATTAGAAGAAAATTGCATATACATATATATACATATATATATATATATATACATATACACATACATATATTATTTTCAAATTTATATTTTCAATTTACGAATTTCGTCATATTTCAGCATATAGTACAATTGACTTATTCACGTCGTCAAGTACACTATTTATTCGTGATGCACTATTCACGTATGTACACTATATGTGTGTATAGATATATATATATATATATATATATATATATATAGCTTTTAATCAATTCACAACCCATACATTTTATTTTTAATTAATTCCGAAAGTTTTAATGAATCCAGTTCGAGGAGAATGTTTGGTTAGAGATCATTAGTTCGTAAAACAAGGAAACTCAGAAATCTGCAAAACAAATGAAATCAAGAATTCATGATTATAAAGTTTGGAGTTTTATCGAATTTTGAGAATTATTAAAATAGCATGTGTTTAATGAAAAAATGTAACATCATTTTAATTAAAAAAAATATATATAAGAAAAAATAGAAAAAATGTTATTAATTCTTTAATCAGATTTAAAAACTGGTGATAGATGAATTTACCATTTATTATTAGATTCACTCTCTGAGAGTAGTATATTTACAAAATAATATTTTTAATAAATAAGTTTTCCCTCCAGAGTTTCCTAAGTACCTATAGCTCTTCGCAAAAGTAATGGAATAGCAAGGTATGGTAAACGACAACGACCACGTTTAATACGATAATATGACGACACGTAGATATGTGGTAAGGTTATAATTAAAGTGTTTGTCTCTGGGAATTAGTCCTGCGCCAATTCTGCCTTCGTGTCGCTTACGTGAAAATGCACGAGATGTCTTTATGAATCATATATGTATATCTATGTCTAAATGTTGCATGCTTCTATACTATGTTCCAATTAACATCTAGCACCTTTTGGGATCATACATTTGTAATATACGAGTTGAAACAATTTATTAATTGTTTCTATGGAGCAAAAATTATACCCAAAGATTCTTATCTGTCGTAAATTAAAATCTACAATTTTCATTATAAAGTAAATCCAACATATATGTATAGGTAAGCAAATAAAAAGTAACAAAAGCTTAAGGAATAAAAACAGATGAAACTTTTTATGTTTATATTTACTATCTAAAAAATAAACAAATAAGAAAATCTTTTTTAGTATAATCTTGCAAGTTCTCTCTCTCTCTCTCTCTCTCTCTCAATCGATATTACATTACTTTAGCGCGCGCGCACACACAATTACATACACAGAGAGAGAGGCATTCTCATATTTTAGAATGTTCAATTTCATATATAATTATTTATATATTTAAATCTTTAAGGCTCAATTTCTTCCTAGGAAGATCTCTCTTTATTCTTTAAGCCTTTACTACTTTTTATTTACTTAACAAGAAAAAAATACACAAATACTAACTATGTGTATAAAAATTTTCTTCCTATTGGAATCCTTGAAACCTTGAATGCCCCTTATATTTTCGATAATAATATTGAATTACACCCTCTCTTGTTACCATTGACGCAAACTTTGAAAGGCATCGCGTATCACTACGCGGCTTCATTATTATCATAAAGATAAAGATATTTTACTATTTACAATATTATAGAAAAAAGGCTTAATATTTCCGTTAGATGTTATAGTAACACTAATACTTTAATGCTTAATTAAAATAATGTAAGTAAATTTATATTAAACAATATAAAAAGGTATATCATAATTTCAATATCTAAATAAAAATGTGTTATAAAAATACTATACCTAAGCTGCGTTGGTATAAAATATTGAATAATTATAAATATACCGATACCAATTATTATAATCATTATTATTATAAAAGTAATTAAAAATGAAAAATCAACAATATTGGTTTAATCAAAACCGTTTCATGAATTATATATTTTCGAAATATTTTAGTTCTGAATTTTCGAGTTGTTCGCAAAATAAATTTTAAAAATAATCAAATTCCCACACATAACAATTTTTTATCAATAATATAGATAGATGTGTGTGTGTGTGTGTGTGTGTGCGTGTGCGTGCGTGTGTGCGTGTGTGTGTGTGTGTGTGTGCGCGCGCGTATGCGTATCTTTTAAAATACTGAATAATATTGGTAGAATTTTTCATTACTACATCTTGAGTTATAATTAATATTATTTAATGGCAATTATGTTGTCAAGTGTCAATACAGATTTGTATGTAAACATAAGTTTTAAAGTAAATATAAACTTTACGATCTTAAATATTTAAGAATTTTAATTTTACTTTTAAAGAATTTAAAAATATTAAAATTTTATCATGTAGAATTCTAAACGTCCAATAAATTCTTGACATATTTTACGAAATAATTATGTTGCACTAACGTAATTTATCCTAAAGGACGTTGACAAAATATTTGGCGATATAACATGTAAATAGGCTTTTAACAGTGCGAATAAAAATGTAAAAAACGTTGCATGAGTAGTGGGCGGTGCCATTTGAACTAAATTGATCCGCGCAAAGTATTAAAATGCGGAAACAGACATCGCTCGGTCGTTTCAGTCAATATACACACGTGCACGAACGAATGCGGCCACTGCGTGCTCGTATATGTATGGAAAGAGCGTGATAGTAAAGAAAAAAGGGAGTAGGACAGAAGATTTGGAAAATTTTGACTCGATGCTGAGTAATCGGAAAATTCATTACGTGCATGCATTAAACTGCTAAAATAAACGCAACAACGCGAAAATGAAGAGTGAAAGTGTGAGTCTTTCAGTTGCTCAAATTATTATTATTATACATTATCGATTAAAACAGACTTGCTCAAAACTTACTTACTAAAAAAAAAGTTATTTATTTATTTATTCTCTGAATAACCTTTTTTAAAAAGTCTCATTTTTAATATTAAGTAATAATCTAGTTCAATTAGATGTACATATAATAAATAATAAATACAGCACTGAACATTTTTCAAGTTTCATATTGCGAAATTAACTCGTCTTGCGCAAAAGCAATTTGCGTAAGAAAATAATTTTTCTCTAATAATTTTTCAATTTAAAAGTAACTATTATCAGCATACTTAAAATACAACCAACATTTGTAATTTGTAATTATAAATGTTGGTTGTACAAACAACTAAAATTATTATTGTGCAATTAAATAAGATGTGCTAATTGTAAGAATTTGCTCATTATTAGAAAAGTAACAAAGAATTTCTTATTCTTCCCTTTCTTTTAATTTATATAATTTATATAATATATCTTCCACAGACAATAAATTTCATAAATAAAATTCATTAAATTCATTAATTTTTGTCAATAAAATATTTCTCTATACATATTCAACAAAATAAAAGCAAAGCTTATTCTATTTGTCTGTAATTGTTAATCTATCCTACATAATACTCGTATGATTTCGATCACTTTTGGTAGTCGTTATAATAAGTACATAGAAATAAAAATAAAATAAATAATAAGCAATATTTCCATTCAAATTTCATATCTTCCTTTTTTCCCCATCTCTTCATTCGCATTTTCAGTTACACCCCTTTCAATCTACCCCTCTTTTTCTCTGTTGTTCTCTTTCTCTTGCTCTCGCACACGCGCACTCAGTAGCCATAAACTACTAGTATCCGACGCATGCTGAGGTTATTGGTTTTTTTCCAAAGGCAGCAGACTTGACAGTGCCGTATACATGCTACTGCATGTGTACCTCCAATCTCCATCTTGCAAAGATAAATTTTATTCTTTAAAGAAAAATATATCTGAATTTTTTTAAATATCTTTTGATATCAAATTTTTATCAACGTATCTTACATTACTAATATAATCAAATAAAATTTCAGAAAATAATGACACGTAGAAAACAAAAGGAAAATTTCGAAGAACGTTATTCTTAATTTCTTTCGTAACACATATAACGTAAAGATTTACTTTATAATATAAAAGTAATATCAGTTGATAATATCATTCTCCTCAGCAGCATGAATCAAGCGCTCATTTTGAAAACAAATTTTAAACATAGTTTGTTAGTGTTTTATTCTAATCATACCTTCACTTCTTATTTCATTTGCTTTTGTCTCAAAAAATAAAAAACGTAAGATGATTCATAGCGCGTTCAGCGCGCCTACAAGTACAAAATGCTTTAACTGAAAAAAAAACCTCTCCATGTTAATCGTAAGAACAAAATTTGCTTCTATTTAAAGGATGCATGATCACATATCTACACGGAAAACGTTATATAACAGAGCACAACTTAAAAATTGAAAACATTTAGAAATTCTACAAAAATATTTTAAACAAGCATTTCTGCGTTATTATTGCGCTTGCCATATTCGATTTTCGTAGCAGTTAATGTAGTCTCAACAGTATGCTACGACGCGGAAAAAAAAATTTTCAAATTCCATGTTTATGTAAATTTCAATCTTTTATCATATACCACTTTCAGTGCATATTTTAGTCACATAAAGCATAAGGTTCAAAAATAATAATTTTAAAAATAATAATAAAAATGACAAATGTCTAACGTTTACACTGAATTATTTTTTATACTTCCCTATCATCGTTTGGACTTTACAAGAATACAGGAATAGTTTCTGTAAATTCCAGATATACAATATAAACAGATCAATGCTAAAAACTTTATGTACAAATTAATAACAAGTTAAAATTAACGTAAAATTATATTCTTGTAAAAATATTTATAGCAAATATTCTCTAAGTATTATTTTGTTATGAAATTGCAGGTTATACATTTTTTAGAAACAAAATTAAAATATTTTTCGCGAAAAAATTAAATGCTTATATTTTTTAAACCTGTGACTAAATAGTCATATTGTAAAACTAAAAATTGTGATAATACTAAAACATGATTTAAAAAATATCATAATCCGTCCAAATTTTTTAACACTTACTTCTAAATTTTTGATAAATTTATGTTTTTTTACTACATCGCGCATTGTTCCTCAAACGTTCGACGCTACAACATTGTTGCTACCAACAGCGAATGAAGAATCACGAATGCCGACCGATTTTACGTGCTCATCTCCGCTCTAATTCAATTATGTCATCCGTCGTACAATCTCCGTCTACCTGGTGGCGTAATTATAACCACGCGAATAATCTACACTTTTCTACCCTCGAGCGTGACATTTGCTCTCTTTGATCCCCTTATCCTCATCTCGCGATACGTGTCATCCATGTAACTCGTATGAGATCTGATCAAGTTTCACGAATAATTCCACCGAATTGACCTTTACCCCTATCGTCGATTCGTTTTTATCCAATTTCATGTAGCGCTAGGCTTTTCGAACGCCATCAAAGCTATTTTTCCCTATTCAGGCAAATTGTTAACCTAACCGCTCTTTTCAACCTAACATTGCTTTTCCGGCGCATTAAAACTTATAAATTGCTTAAGTTATTCTTCAATTGTTACATACAGCGATGTTAAACGCGGACCGCGGACATAAATAATTAATAATAATTCATATGAAAGATATTTCACATAAAGCAATTTTTCAACGTAAATTTGTGAAATTTGTGAAACTATAAAAATGATAGATATGTAACTTATTGGGAAATGTTTATTATATTCTATCCTTTTCGATAAAATTTATATTACATATACAAATTACTAATATCTCAACTTAAAAATATTGACTAAATTTTTAATCGATTTGGATTTTGCGTTAAAATTATAAATTAAAAAAAGTTTTTAAGAGCAAAAATGAGTTGTAAAACGAATGTTGTTTAAAAAGAAAAAAGTAGTATTAGATTTCCTGTAGGAGACCAAGACCAGTTGCTTGAAATTTTTTTTATAAAATCATATAATTTCTTTTACATAAATTGACTTACATAGCCATTACTCTGCATAGCAGAGTAATAAGCTGAGATCATTAAAAAATCATAAAACTTAAGACATATTTCATACTTTATTTTGACAAAATTTTCGTGATTTTAAAATATTCGTAATTTTCTATTAAAATGTCATGTCAATATTTTCACAAAATAACAGAATCAATTAATAAGCTTATTTTTATACATATGTACCACAGATATAACATTGCACTTGCAATGTACAATTACTCTCTATTAATACTATATTTTCTATATATCAATGGATTATACATTTCATTATTTCATGTACAAAAATCTTAAAGCAAAAGAGAACCTAGAAAGAAAAAAATCTTTAAATTAAAACATTTATGCTTCAAAATATACATTTAAATTTAAAAACGTTTAAAATACATGCCACAGAGTTGTACACGATAGTGTGAGACAAGCAACGTACATATGTACATATATGTATATAGTTATAAATATGTACAATTATTTACCGTTTTGCGCGCGTGTATGGGCATATGACTTTCGATAGACAATAAGAGGCTCGTCGCCTGGCCTGTTTCTCTCTATCTCTCGGGAATAATTCTACCGTAGCTATCTCAAAGAGATACTTTTTCTCTCTTTCTCTCTCTCTCTCTCTCTCTCTCTCTCTCTCACTCTCTCTTCATGAATCCCGATCCTGCGTGACGTCCAGCGTGTCGTTCCTCCGTCGCTCTCTCACGTGGCTTACGACATGCGTCACTGCCAGTTGGGCTAATACGATCCTCGATCTGCGCACGAGCCAATCACACAACCGCCCGTCGGCTCTCCTTTCAGCAGCCTCGACATGTTTTATCGTTTCTTCAAAGATCACTCTCCTCGATCTCGATCACCTTATCTGTCTTTCTGAGAGATCAACGTGATCGTCTGATCTACGAACAGTTCAATCTATGCATCAGAGATTTAGATAACCGAGTGTGTGTGTGTGTGTGTGTGTGTGTGTGTGTGTGTCACCTGTCCGCCAATCGCCAATGCTCGCTCGGCCAGCAGGGAAAAGTAGTAGCCGTCTGTAGGATTCTGAATATGGACCAGTCGATTCGTTGTCTCCTCCACAAATGCAGGATCCTACTCTCGCAGGAACACGTTTCACTCTCAATCGATGCTCTATAGTCTTCTCTCCATTCACTTTCGCTTGCGAGAGCAAACTCCTTTTATGACAACATGTTGATGATGAATCATCCACTTTTTTTATTAAATGCTCTACTAAACAAATCGATTTTCCGAGTTTTTAAATTTCAAGGATAAAATTAAAGAGAGCGCTTCCTTTTCTAATCCTTAAATGTTAAAATCTCCATACATAAAATTTTTGATCCTTGATTTTTGGAATAATTTGCTGATTATCATTTCACAACCACAGAATGCTCCAGATTCCAAAGATTTCTAAATCAGATAGTTAACTGTTGGAGTTCTAAGGTAAAATAGCTGCTATGAAATTTTTAATGTCCAAGTTTTGCATTCTGGAGCACAGTCGAGTTTTTGACACTTGACAAATTTTAAGTTTAACTAATTTCACTTGTTTCTTAATTACAATGACATACTTTACATCAATCCGAGACACACACATACACACACAATTGGCACAATCAATTTTTACAAAAAATGACAGCCAATTTCTCGACAATTAAGTATCACCAATTTTTAAAAATTATCACGATCAACATGTCGGAAAAAAACCGATTAATTTTTCAAAAAGCACGATATGATTGATTAACTAAAGATGCACAAGCATCGATCGTTGTACCTACTTGAGCGTCTCGTCAGGAACACGACGAACCGAATTTCAAAGACAGGCACTACGATGCACGATAAATTTCACGCCGCAAATCTACAAAAATTCGCGTTTGAAATTCCAACGTCGTCAAGATTCAAACAATCGATGCGATACGAAACGCACGACGCTTCGCGAGAAGCGACCATATCCATATCGCGGTAGCGCGAGACACATAAAATCGCGATATCACCTAACCTCACTCCGCAACAGCACTAAACGTACTGAGATACAACGCAGGTCGTACTGGTCGTAGGCGTCGTAGCGTAGTTTGCTGTCGCTCGCCGCCGCAGCGCAGCAGCCAACCTGCTTGCCGCCACTGCCACCAGTGCCGCCACTGCCGCTTGTGCCTGTCGCCGTGTCGTCGACCGTCGTCGTGGCTGTCGCGTAGGAGAGATGGGAAAGAGTGCACAGTGGGAGAAGCGCGCCATACGATGACGTCACGATAGCGACGCGCCTCGCCTCGCTTCGCGCGAAAGGTGCAGAGATGTGTTCTACTTTATCGACGCGCGCCAATGAACGAATCGATCGAGATGTTTAACATATCAGAAGAGCATAGCTCTTTGCAAATCGAAATTATTTTTCAGACGCAAAGTAGAGCCCGTTTCAGCCGGATGCGGATGACATCAGTTTCTTTTATATACTTTTACAATTTACCTAATATATATACATATATATTTATATAAAAATTTTATATAAATCCCAACCGTTCGAAGCGTCGCGAGGTATTATTAAAGACGCGAGTACGACGATGGGCCTATGCCTAGTCGCCCAGACAGCATAAGGTATTTCAAGCACCGCGTACTGGCAATAGGATATTCGAAGACGAATAGCCAAAAACGAGTGATGTTTGGCTCTCGAGGGGAAAGGGGAGTAGTGTATTTCGAAGCAACCAAACACGTCGACTGACAAGTACCCAATAAGCGATAACATATATACGTGAATTAATTCGCGCGCGCGCGCGCGTGCAACCTATTATTAACGTTACAGATGATATTGTCGCGAATGCAAATTTATCCTATCGTCCTCGACATTCGCGAACGGTACGTGTCACGGAAATACTCAATATATAAAAATAATATTACCAATTAAATAATTAATATTAAAGTAATAAAATATTTACGCGATGAGAATAAGTATATAATTATGCGCAAACGAAACATTTGGAGATAGTGGATTGTTTCCATAATTTTTAAAATTTTTTCAACCTTGAAAGTAACTTTCCATTATTATTGAGTTATGTGAGATTTTTTTAGAATTACTAAAAAATATAAGAAATTAATCAAGTGTAGAGCAATATGTTAGTAGATGCAATAGATGCAGAAACGGCAGCAATCAAGATCAAGTTTATAGTATTTGGAAAACTACATAGATGCTTATTCTTTTTCTGCATGTTTAAAATACTTAAAAAAATATTAATATAATTAATAACTTCCGTCATTTATAATAATATATGTAGACGTATATAAGCAATAATCATTTCTTATCTTTCAACATAATTCACAAGATTGTAGACAAGGCATCTTATTTCGTGAGCACCGATAAATAAAATATTTTTTATTCCCAATGTTTTATTCATTTATATGTTAATTAAATTGTTTTTCGACATATTTTTTTACTTTTTGTTATATATATGTATATTAAAAATATTTTAATCAATATTACGGGAAAAAAATTAGGAATAAAAAATATTTACTTATTCATTAAAATATTGTTTAATTTTGATATCATATACACTTAGCGGAGAATAGAATTTATATTTTTTATTCTGTTAATTACGTCTACCAACGTAAGCAGTATCTTTTTAATCATATAAAATTGCGCGTGATCTTCTAAATATGTTAAAATCACTTCATAAATTTTGCAATTTTTGTTAATACTTTAATTCAGACATGAAATCGCCACAATTTCTGAAGGCTCAAATTCCGATGTCAAATATACGCAAAAATGATCCTTACGTGCGCTCGAGAAACGGCGTCGCTGGCGGCAAGCATCGGCGCGGCGGCGTCTCAAAATATCCGCGGCGTCGAAATCCATTACTGTTCTCGTCCATCTAATTATTCGAACATCCCATCTAATTAGTTCTCGTGCGTTTTCAAGACAAGAATCTATTGAGCTTGTGAGAGCTCGACTAAACGCAATCGTATTAACATTAAATCTTAATTCGCTCTTAATTCGCGATTTAATATGCGCGTCGCTT